GCAGACCTGAAACGAGGCCTCTTAATTCAGTTCCAGGTTCATCCTATTCATCACACATGCAAGAGTGAAGGAGACCCTATGGTATGGAGAAGCTTGGAATATATAGAATACATTCTTCCTTCCATTCACTAATTGATTTCTATTATCTCTAATAAATATACTATAATATAATTTGCACTGAATGGATAATATTTTAGCTCTGCTTTGCCTGCCAATTAGCCTTCATCCTCGGAGTCATCTTATCTCTAAATCCATCTTCACCATTCTGTAACAATAGGGGAATTAATCAGTAACAAACAAATCATTTTGGGGTGGTTATCAAAAGAACAAGAGGTTTATGTGAACCGACATGTTGTATAGAGAATGAACTTACAGAGGCTACAACTAATCAAAGACAGAAAATGTTCTGTTAGTTGACATTCTTCCGTAAGTGTCAATTTTCAAATGGCATTACAATAAGCTAAGTGAACATACTGATAAAACTTAACGAATTCTTTCTATGGGACAAACATATCAATAAATAATCCTAAATACTATTGTTAGTGTCTTGGATAAAGAGGAAAATGCAGCTAGTTCAAAATCTTCCATTTAATATAAAATTACTTTTTTTCCTGAATAACACTCTTTAAAAGAAAACCGTTCTTTATTCCCTGTGATTACTTAACCTTCTACCCACCCACAAAGCAGAAAACCAGATTTAAACAAATACATATCGCAAGCCGCTGATATAGAGCCTTATATTTTGGCAAAAGGGACAGGATCTGATGGATTGTTTATGGTAAATAGTTACGCCTCCAGATAAAGGGACGTACCTCTTAACGACAATGTGCAGGTTACACAATACTGCAATGAATGGCGCATTTTCTGTAATTAAGTCCCTCGTCTAAATTTTAAGTTAACCAAGTAAACAACATCTGTTTAGACCAAAAGCTTTGTCTAAGATTTGTATACCTCAGCTTAACAAGACAAAAAGTGGCCGGTACTATATTTGCTTCCCCCAGATTTACATTTACTAACTTGTTTTGTGGAGCTTAAAAAAATCCGGATTGAAAAAAAAGAGCCATTCCCAGCTATTATTATGAGAGCGGCCCTTATTCCTCTATCTTTCCAATTTTCCTCTTCCAATGTTTGCTAAAACTTTTAGCTAAAGGTGCCTTCCTGTAATGGAGTCTACTTATGTTGTCAACAATTGTCCGGAGGCTTAGAAGGAAGATCACCCACCTCATGGGAGAATGCTCTGAAAATTAAGGCCAAAGAAGTATTATTTAACGTCTCATTATCAATGAGAGTACATTGTTAAATCCTGGTCCACACCCAAAAATTTGTAGGTTCTCCATGTACTTGTATATACACTACAGCATTACTCAGGGAAAAAACCACACAGAAGCTTTTTCCCTTAAGACGTATATTTAGCTATTATCTTTTTACATAGGAAACATACCACAAATACAGATCCTCCCCTGAAGTTTCAACAGAGGCCACCCAGATACTATAGCCAACCAGATACCAGCGTGAACCTTGTAGAAAGACTACCCTGCAGCAAATTCCCAAGCAATATGTCTGAGAACCGGTTAGATAGCTCTAAACGCCTACACACGTGTAAAGAGCAGAGAGGAATTGCAGCAAAATTCTTTGAGAGAGTTGTGCTGATGTTCATGTCTACTCCAATGTGGAAGGGTGTGGGAATAGGTGCTTCCTTTCATCTCAAGAAGCTTCAGTGGACCCCCTTGGAGTACTTGATATATTCCCCGGAGTTTCGGGACCATAGGCAGAAGTGCCTGACCGCACACTTTAGGATTCATAAGACTTCTGTTACCTCTTTGGAACCACAGTAAGGCACGCAGCAAGAAAGAGGAGGGGAGACGTTGGCGTGCCCGACCACCAGAGGTGAAGAAGCACTGCCCCTGTACTCAGCGAGCCAGATACACTGCCACAGGTGGAGAAGGACAGAAAACAAGGAAAGCAAGAGGATGCGGCGCGTGGTTCAGTGAGTGTTGAAACCAGCCTGAGCAAGAGTGAGACCCCATCTCTACCTATAAGATAAAATAAATGCAATTGATGTGGCCAACAATATCATGCTCCTATACCGAAACATCAGCCAGGCATGTGGCGCATGCCTGTACGCATGTCCGCAACTACTCGGGAGCTGAGGCAGGAGGATCACTTGACCGCAGAGTTGAGGTGATGAGAGGATGATGCCACACACTCACTCTAGCCTGCAATGGCAAAAGTGACGATTCTGCTCAAAAAACAAAACAAAAAAACAAAACAAAACACTGGCTTTAATTATATGAAAGAAATGATTCATGATGTTTTTTTCAGAAGATACTTCAGGGATTTTAACTGACCTAGATTTTTAAAATGGGATATGCACGTTAATCAAAGGCCTCCTTAAAAGTGACTATGTAAAATTCACCAAGTAAGAATAAATAATATTGAATTGATTCTAAAAGCTTAGAACAAGGCTTTTAGAAATTTTAATTTAATAAGTAATATTATTTAAAATATATTTTCATAAGCTTTTCTATGCACAATAATACCTTGAAGCGAATAAAAGTGTGACTTGGGTTAGGCAAATGTCTTTAGTTATGACCAAGTGCATGATTCCTAAAGAAAAAAAATTGATAAACTGGAATTCATCAAATTAAAATCTCTATTGAAAATGAGTGTTAAAACTTGAAAAGATGAGCCACAAACTAAAGAAAATACTTGCAAATCATATAACTGATAAAGGACTTGTATCTAAACAATAATATTAAAAACAAACAATCTAATTTTTTTTTAATGGGCAAAAAATTTGAATTGGCACTTCACCAAAGAAGTATAATGTGCCGAGCGCAGTGCCTCACGCGCCTGTAACCTAGCACTCTTGGGAGGCCAAGCGGGCGGATTGCTCAAGGTCAGGAGTTCGAAATCAGCCTGAGCAAGAGTGAGACCCCGTCTCTACTAAAAAAAATTAATTGGCAAACTAATATATAGAAAAAAAAATTAGCTGGGCATGGTGGCACATGCCTGTAGTCCCAGTTACTGGGAGGCTGAGGCAGCAGGATCGCTTGAGCCCAGAAGATTGAGGTTGCTGTGAGCTAGGCTGATGCCATGCCACTCACTCTAGCCTGGGCAACACAAGCGAGACTACTGTCTCAAAAAAAAAAAAAAAAAAAAAAAAAAAAAAAAAGAAGACATATGTATGGCAAATGAGTGCATGAAAAATGTTCAACATCATTACACGTTAGGGCAACAAAAATAAAACAATGAGATGCTGCTACATAGCTATCAGACTATCTAAAATTTTAAAGACTGACCATACTAAATGTTGACAAAGATATAGAGTAACTGGAACTCTCCATACATTGCTAGTGGGAATGTAAAATGGTACCCTTTGGAAAACTGCTAATATGTTTTTCTTAAAAAGTTAAACATACACCTCGCATATGACCTAGCCATCCTACTGCAAGCTGTTTACCCAACAGAAATTAAAGCACATATCCATACAAAAGACTTGTATACAAGTGTTCACAACAGCTTTATTTTGAATAGTTGAAAACTGGAAATAAGCAAAGCTTTCAACAGGTGAACATATAAGGGAATCTTAGTATATCCTCACAATGGAATGTGAATCAGTAACACTGTTACTGTAACAAACACATGCAACAACTTGGATAAATCTCAAATAATTATGCTGAAAAAAGGAAGCAAGACCAAAAAATACATGCTGCATGATGACACTTATTCAACACTGTAGAAAATGCAAATTAATCTATAATTACAGAAATCAGATCAGTGGTTGCTTGAGATTGGCACTGTCCTATGGAGAGGCATGTGGGAAGTATTAAAAAGGGGCATGAGAAAACATTTGGAGGTGATGGATATGTTCATTATTTTGATTGTGATGATGGTCCCAGTAGGTACACAAAAACGTCAAAACTTAACAAATTGGGGCCAGGCGCAGTGGCTCATGCCTGTAATCCTAGCACTCTGGGAGGCCGAGGCAGGAGGATCACTTGAACTCAGGAGTTCTGTCGTCAAAAAAACCAAAACAAAACAAAACAAACAAAACCTGGCTTTTATTATTAGGAATTGCAGGGTTTAGAATATTAGGCGGATTTTAACTGACCTAGATTTTAAAATGGGATTATGCACTCATCAAGGAACGCTCTTAAAAGCTGAATATTAAAATTTTCAACAAGTAGAATACGAAATAATTGAAATTGATCTTGAAAAGCCTTAGCAACAGGCTTAGAAATTTTAATTTAATAGAATATTCCACTTAAAAATAATTTTTCAATAGCTGGCTTTCTATTGCCACAATCAATACCGTTGTAGGCAATAAAAAAGTTGCTGACTTGGGTTAGGGCATGTTTTTGTAGTTATGACCCAAGTGCATGATTCCATAAAAGAAAAAAATTGATAAACTGCGAATTCATTCAAAATTAAAATCTCTATTTGAAAATGGAGTGTTAAAACTTGAAGATGAGCCAACAAACTAAGAGAAAATACTTGGCAAATCATATAACTGAAAAGGACTTGTATCTAAAATATATAATAGAAAAACAAACAATCTAATTTTTTTTTAATGGGCAAAAAATTTGAATTGGCACTTCACAAAGAAGTATATGGCCGAGCGCAGTGCTCACGCCTTAATCTAGCACATCTGGGAGGCCGAGCGGGCGGATTGCTCAAGGTCAGGAGTTCGAAATCAGCCCCTGAGAAGAGTGACGACCCGTTCGACTAAAAAAAAATTAAGTTGGCCAACTTAATATATAGAAAAAAAAATTAGCATGGGCATCGGTGGCACATGCCTGTAAGTCCAGTTACTGGGAGGCTGAGGCAGGCAGGATCGCTTGAGCCCCAGAAGATTGAGCGGTTGCCTGTGAGCTTACGGCTCGATTGCCATGCACTCCACTCTATCGCCTGGCAACAAGCCGAGACTCCTGTCTCAAAAAAAAAAAGAAGAATATGTGCGTTAGGCTGACTATCCTTTCTACACCGTTAGGAGCAACCTTTTCTGAATAATTCTTGGAGACTTTCAGCACTTTGATTTAGTACAGCCCATATTTCTTCCTCCTCCAGTGGTCCACCCCGAACCTCCAGGGCCTCAGCTAGTGACACGTGCATATTACCTGCGAAACAAAAATAATAGATGGTCTAAGCATTAGCAACTTAACTGCACTTGCAGTGGTAAAAGCTCTATATCAATGATAGACTATGGGCCCCCTGACAATTTAATTTCTCAATATGGTATTTGATCTAAATATAATCTGGCAGTCGTAAACTTATAGACGGTAAATGAATTGGAGGAAAGAAAAAAACTCTTAAAACAATCACTTGCCCTAGTCATCCTCAGTGACAGAACTGGAGAACAGTGGTGGTGTCTACTTCATGGGAGAAGACAAAAACCCCAGGATACCAGGAGGCACCAAACTGCAGATGATTAAACCAAAGCAGACTGAACGGAGGCCTCTTAGATTTCAGTTCCAGGTTTCATCCTATTCATCCCACATACAAGGAGTAGAGAGGAGACCCTATGGTAGGAGAAGTTGGAAATAATATAGAACACATTTCTTCCTTCCATTCACTAATTGATTTCTATTATCTCTAATAAATATACTATAACTATAAATTTTGCACTGAATGGAATTAACTATTTCTAGACTCTGCTTTGCTGCCAATTAGCCCTTTCTCTGGGAGTCATTTTATCTCTAAATCTCAGTTTCCGTTCTGTAACATGGGAATAATAATAACAATACAAATGCCATTTTGGGGTGGTTATGCCAAAGAAAGAGGTTATGTGAACATGGTTTGTAATGAAGATTCTACAGAGGCTAAACTAACAAAAGATCAGAAAAGTGTCTCTGTAGTGACATTTTTGTAGTGTCAATTTTTCAAATGGCATTCAATTAAGTAAGTGATATACTGATAAAACTTAAGATTTTCTATGGGCTCAATAATCCTATTTTTATGTTGGAAGAGGAAAATGCAGCTAGTCAAAATCTTCCTATATATATTTTCCTGAATTAACACTCCTTAAAAAGAAAACCGTTCTTTCCTGTGATTACTAAGATTTCTACCCAAACAAACCAATTTAAGCATAATGTGCAGTGTATATCTATTGGTAGGCAGAAGCTGATGGATTTGGAAAAGACGCTAGAGGGAGTTAAAAATGTTAAATACTTATTTTCTGTAATTAAGTCCTTCGTTAAATTTTAAAGTTAACCAATAAAAACATCTGTTTTAGACAAAAGCTTTTGTCTAACATTTTGTTTACTCAACTAACAAGAAATGCTACTATTTTCTTCTAATTTACATTTATAAAAAAATCCGGATTGAAAAAAAAAGCAATTCCAGCTATAAGTGAGAGCGGCCTTATCCTTTTTCAATTTCCTTTCCAAATGTTTGCTAAAACATTTTAGGCTTAAAGTGTGCCTCTGAATGGCGTCTACTTATGTGTACAATGTGGATCTTAGAAGGGAAGATATAAGATATTGCTCTGAAATAGCCAAAAGAGTTTTTATTTAGCTCATACAAGAAGTACATTTGTTTAGATGCCTGGTCCACACCAAAAATTTGTAGGTTCTCATGTACTTTGTTATACACTAGCACATTTACTCAAGGGAAAAACAGAAGCTTTTTCCTAAGAGATATTTGAGCTATTATCTTTTACATGAAACATACCAATAACAGAGATGCCTCCGCTGGAAGTTTCAACAGAGGCATCCAGATACTATTAGCAACCAGATACCAGCGTGACTTGTGAGAAAGACTACCCTGCAGCAAATTTCCCAAGCAATATGTCTGAGAACCGGTTAGATAGCTCTAAAGCCTACACACGGTGTAAAGAGCAGAGAGGATTGCACAAGAATTTCTTTGAAGAGAGTTGTGCTGATGTTCATGTCTACTCCAATGTGGGAAGGGTGTGGGAAAGGTGCCTTCCTTTCATCTCAAGAAGCTTCAGTGGGACCCCTTGGAGTACTTGATATATGTTCCCCGGAGTTTCGGGGGACATAGCAGAAGGTGCCTGACGCACACTTTAGGATTCTAAAGACTTTGGTTACCACCCTGAGGCAGCAGCAAGATGAAGAGGGGAGAGGGCACACAGAGTGAAGGAGCATCCTGTATCAGGAGCCAGATACACTGCCACAGGTTGGAGAAGGACAGAAACAAGGAAACAGAGAGGATGGGCGCGGTGGCTCACTCCTGTAATCCTAGCAGTCTGGGAGACCAAGGTGGGTAGATCGCTCAAGCCCAGGAGTTTGAAACCAGCCTGAGCAAGAGTGAGACCCCATCTCTACTATAAATAAAAAGAAATGAATTGGCCAACTAATATATATAGAAAAAATCAGCCAGGCATGGTGGCGCATGCCTGTACGCATGTCCCAACTACTCGGGAGGCTGAGGCAGGAGGATCACTTGAGCCCAGGAGTTTGAGGTTGCTGTGAGTTAGGCTGATGCCACAGCACTCACTCTAGCCTGGGCAACAAAGTGAGATTCTGTCTCAAAAAACAAAACAAAACAAAACAAAACACCTGGCTTTTAATTATATGAATGCAGTTTAGAATACTTCAGGGATTTTAACTGACTAGATTTTAAAATGGGATTATGCACTCAATCAAAGGGCCTCTTAAAAGTGACTATTAAAATTTTCAACAAGTAGAATAAAATAATTGAATTGATCTTAAAAGCTTAGGAACAGGCTTTAGAAATTTTAATTTAATAAGAATATTCATTTAAAAATAATTTTCAATAAGCTTTTCTATGCACAATAATACCTTGAAGGCCAATAAAAAGTTGTGACTTGGGTTAGGCAATGTTTTTGTAGTTATGACCCAAGTGCATGATTCCTAAAAGAAAAAAATTGATAAACTGGAATTCATCAAAATTAAAATCTCTATTTGAAAATGAGTGTTAAAAACTTGAAAAGATGAGCCACAAACTAAGAGAAAATACTTGCAAATCATATAACTGATAAAGGACTTGTATTTAAAATATATAATAGAAAAACAAACAATCTAATTTTTTTTTAATGGGCAAAAAATTTGAATTGGCACTTCACCAAAGAAGATATATGGCCGAACGCAGTGGCTCACGCCTTGTAATCCTAGCACTCTGGGAGGCCAAGGCGGGCGGATTGCTCAAGGTCAGGAGTTCGAAATCAGCCTGAGCAAGAGTGAGACCCCGTCTCTACTAAAAAAAATTAATTGGCAAACTAATATATAGAAAAAAAAATTAGCTGGGCATGGTGGCACATGCCTGTAGTCCCAGTTACTGGGAGGCTGAGGCAGCAGGATCGCTTGAGCCCAGAAGATTGAGGTTGCTGTGAGCTAGGCTGATGCCATGCCACTCACTCTAGCCTGGGCAACAAAGCGAGACTCTGTCTCAAAAAAAAAAAAAAAAAAAAAAGAAGACATATGTATGGCAAATGAGTGCATGAAAAATGTTCAACATCATTACACGTTAGGGCAACAAAAATAAAACAATGAGATGCTGCTACATAGCTATCAGACTATCTAAAATTTTAAAGACTGACCATACTAAATGTTGACAAAGATAGAGTAACTGGAACTCTCCATACATTTGCTAGTGGGAATGTAAAATGGTACCCTTTGGAAAACTGCTAATATGTTTTTCTTAAAAAGTTAAACATACACCTCGCATATGACCTAGCCATCCTACTGCAAGCTGTTTACCCAACAGAAATTAAAGCACATATCCATACAAAAGACTTGTATACAAGTGTTCACAACAGCTTTATTTTGAATAGTTGAAAACTGGAAATAAGCAAAGCTTTCAACAGGTGAACATATAAGGAATCTTAGTATATCCTCACAATGGAATGCGAATCAGTAACACTGTTACTGTAACAAACACATGCAACAACTTGGATAAATCTCAAATAATTATGCTGAAAAAAGGAAGCAAGACCAAAAAATACATGCTGCATGATGACACTTATTCAACACTGTAGAAAATGCAAATTAATCTATAATTACAGAAATCAGATCAGTGGTTGCTTGAGATTGGCACTGTCCTATGGAGAGGCATGTGGGAAGTATTAAAAAGGGGCATGAGAAAACATTTGGAGGTGATGGATATGTTCATTATTTTGATTGTGATGATGGTCCCAGTAGGTACACAAAAACGTCAAAACTTAACAAATTGGGGCCAGGCGCAGTGGCTCATGCCTGTAATCCTAGCACTCTGGGAGGCCGAGGCAGGAGGATCACTTGAACTCAGGAGTTTGAGACCAGCCTGAGCAAGAGTGAGACCCCCATCTCTACTAAAAATAGAAAGAAATTAGCTGGACAACTAAAAATATAAATATAGAAAAAATTAGCTGGGCATGGTGGCGCACACCTGTAGTCCCAGCCTGTAGTCCTAGCTACTCGGGAGGCTGAGGCAGGAGGATTGCTTGAGCCCAGGAGTTTGAGGTTGCTGTGAGCTAGGCTGATGCCATGGCACTCTAGCCCAGGCAACAGAGCAAGACTGTCTCAAAAAAAAAAAAAAAAAAAACTTAACAAATTGTATACTTGAAATATGTACAGTTTATATGTCAATTATGCATCAATAAAGCTGTTAAAGAGAGAAAAACAAACTAAACCCAACCAAAGTTGAAACAGCAATCCTTTTCTTTGTCCCATGAAGCTGACTGGATATTTTTATTGTCAGAAGAAACTAAACCCAACTTCAAGTAACACATGCTTTTTAAAAAAGAATAATAATTATGTATTTGTTTTCTAAAAATTCACTTCTCCCACTTTGTATTGTGGCCAAAAAATTATAACATTTCAGTACTATCTTAACCATTTTTAAGTGTATAGTTCAGTAATGTTAAGTATATTCACTTCATTATGCAACAGATCTCTGGAACTTTTTTCACCTTGTAAAACTGAAACTCTATACCCATTAAATACTAATTCCCTTCCCCCTGCGTAACCAACTTTTTACTTTCTGTTTCTATGATTTGACTATTTTAGATACTTCATATGAGTAGAATCATATAGTTTTGTCTATTTGTGACTAGATTATTTTGCTTCGAGTAATGTCCTCAAAGTTCATCCATGTTGTAGCATGTGACAGGATTTTCTTCTTTTTTAAGGATGCATAATATTCATTGTATGTATAC